GGCGGTTGTGTCACCAAACAAAACGACATGGTATAAGTATATTAAACAACAAGAGACTTTGGAATCTTGCTGCCACGTTGCATAATCCAAACGGCATCGTCTCTAATTCGGAAAGTCCTTGCGGGTTTGGGAATTCTTTGGGTACCACCTTGACGTGCCAGTATCCTGAATTAAGGTTAACGGTAGAAAACCATTTTCACACGCTAGTACATCCAGTGTCACCTCTATACGAGGCAGTGGAAAGGAGTCTCTTCTCGTTACCACGTTTTAAATTAATTCTCGGGCCGGTCGCGTTTCTTGCGTCCTGTCAATTGCCCCACGTGCGCTAGGATCTCTGGCTATAATTATAGTGCACTCGATTGTCAACACGCTTTTTCAAAATAGAAGCTCGTTGAACCCTGCCTCCAATTTCGTTGTAGGAGTTTTTTAACTGCTTGTTTTCTACTTCACTATTAACTGCAAATCGTCGCCAAATCTTGCCCTAAAAAGACAATTTCTGCTGAAATTGTTACAAATTTGTACATTTACCTGTGCACCTTGTCAATATTCTTGTTTGTTTACAAAACTACTTTTGTATAGATAGTGCCTTTCTGGTGTTAACAAATATGAATTCCAAATTACTAATTTATCACAGTGGTTTTCCCCATATTTTTTTTAAATCGCGTTTCACCAACTCTTGTTGACTACTTTTATAAATAATGGATTGTTATGAACTGGATGCGACATAACCTATATAGCGCACTACTCATTTTTGTCGTTTATGCAGTAGATCACGCGCAGCTGTAATTATCAATTTTGCATCTATTTATACTACGGTACTAAGTTTGTAATGAAGGGGCCCTGGGCTTTAAATACATATAAAGTTTATTTATTAATCGGGGAGTGGACTGAGCAGCCAATTTTATAGCAATATTTTTGCCGAGAGATCAGTTATGTTCGGGTCACCTTTGCCATTTGTGTCGGTAAAAATACCACCTCCCCAAGGTCAGTGGCAAGTCATTTCAGAAATCTTGTCAATTTTTCCTGCTGTGACTCCCGTATAATCCTTATCAGATTCAGCTCGGACGTAAATCGATTATAAGGACATATGCTGTGAGCTGGGGGATCATTTTTAATCAATCATCTGAACCTTATTCGACTTCTTCAACTTCCCCTATTGTCATTTTTAGGTACTCCATATCCTTCCCTATGTCCAGAATGTTTTGACGTTCAGGTAACTTATTAGAATATTGGCCCGTTTATCGCGAGGTACTTCCACAGCACCATACAGCGTACGCAATTCCGCACTGAGTGTAAGTCCTCCTGCATCCTTCACTTCTAAACGCCCTCTATCCTTTGCTTTATTTGAAATAACCTGTCAAGATAAATAAGTTTGACAACTACTCTACCTGCTTTCAAGTGAAGACTGCATATTTAGCTTAACATTTATTTGATTGACTTTCTATTCCCCTCATAATTTTCGACCACCAGGAATATAGGAGACCTCCAAACTAAATCTCCCTGTCTAGTGTTCCCTAAATAGCATGACCTCCCACTTTTATTTAAATTATGGTATTCATCTGGATGAGCACGGTTTAAACCGTGCCCGCTTCGTTTGCTCCTCACTGTCATTAGAATCCCAATCGGACTGGAGAGATGGCAAGGACTCCCGTCCATTGACCTATTTCTACAAGATATCATGGAAATCAGCGCTCTTGACCGCCATATATTCACGCTTCATACTTGTATTTTCGGGTGCCATTATAGTATCAACATAATCTTCTCCTATATATCTTTTTATCAGACAGTTTCTTCATTAAGTATTTTTGTAAAGTAGGGGCTCGCTGAAATCTGTAACTTCTTTCGTTGTCGGAATCATTTTCACTAGTAACTTCTTAGTTCACAATTATTTTGTAAGCATTGCCAAGTATTTTGTCTCAAACGGTGAATAGCTAGTGGACTCGAAATACTCTGCTGTATATCCGGCCATTTAATTATTTAACCGCAGTACTGTCTATTTTGACAATGTCCTTTGGGCGCTTAAAATATAAAAAAATTTTACTGATTAACAAATAAATAAATAAATTGCAGATTTAAGGCCAAAGGGTCTTTTTATTACAAACTTTGTGTTGTTGTAAAAACAACAACAAACAAACAACTGTACAACAACGAGAACGAGTATTGTTTTATAAACATTGAGTCATATCTGATTTACAGCGCACCCTTTTTAAATTAATAGTCAACAATCTAAGGTAATTTAATAAACTGTTGAAGAGGCAGTGAAAAGAACTCCTATAACCGAGATCGGTGGCAGAGTTCAGCGAGCTTAAACAGGTATTTAGACTGATATGGCATGAGGTATACATAGTGCCTTCCTGGCGCTAACAAATATAGATTCCAATATGAGGCGGCGAGATGGGGTCGTGATTCTCGGGGTTCGGAACGCTCCTTGTTGTGGCTCAAATACCAGAAGGTTCGCGATCCAGGTATTTGCATGGTTGATGAAGAAGACGTATCGATCGACGTATCAATTGATCTGTTGCTCGATACGTCTTCTGCCTCGTCCACGTATTTTTTCGATTATTCAGACAGAGACAATAATAAAAGGGAGGGCAGAGCTAACAAATGTTCAATAATCCAATCAACACTAAGTAATGGGAAGAGGTATTCAGGGATCGAGGAGTCAGATTCTAGTCATATCACAGGGCCAGAAAGGGGAAAGAGGTAAAATAATTAGGTCATATGCCCCCGTCATCACTGTCTCTCGTCCACGTAGGAGGCGTAATGAGTTGGTTGATTCTATACGCTGCAGTAGGCTGCGCAGGCAACATTACTCGCGCGTGACTAAACGCATGGCTTCATTTGTCACCTTTTTAATCATAAAGTTAAAAATCTGACGGTATCTAATCTTTTCCGTAACTATCCTGACTACGATTTCCACCGAAGCCACAGAGTTTTCCAAACTAGAGTCAAAGGAATTATTCAAATCCGTCGAATATACCTACTGTTATGGTCTTCGGTTAACAGATATCTCCCGCAAGTAATGGTGAAAGTCAACTAACAAAATTATTGCTCCACTTCAACATGCTCATTAGGAGTCCTTGTGCAGTAAACACTCACCTCCGATTTTAAATGAGCTGGAATATTACCCAGCTTTTGAAAAAAAGCTAATGGCGCTAGTCTCTACGTGCATTTAGCGCTAAGGCGATGGTTCCTTTATCACTGTAGCTCACAACGACCGTTTATCCTCCTTTGAATGTCATTTAATTAAAATTCTCAACATTTTGCATTGGATATGGCTCTTCCTTGCTGCACGTTTGCTCGTCTCTCTGATTCCGATAGAGCCCGAAATGAAGCGAATAAGCAAATTGAGAAATTGATCGAAAAAGAAAAAAGAAATTTTCGCTCAACCCATCGACTTCTCCTCTTAGGTATTTTACACTTGTTGTATAACACATTTTAAGGTGCCGGAGAAAGTGGAAAGTCTACGATTGTGAAACAAATGCGCATCCTGCATATCGATGGATTTTCAGATGCGTAGGTCACTGATATTTTTTACTCCCTTCTAGAGAAAAAAAGGAAAAAATCGTGGACATCAGAAAAAATTTACGCGACGCAATTTGCGTAAGCTTCTATGTAGTTATTACTTGTTCTAGTCTGTCGTTGGAGC